TTTCTTTTTCAGTCGTCTAGTTGGATAGAAAAAAAAATTGATAATCGTAAGTAGGTATAATTTTTTTTCTTAGAATTACTGCTTTTAATGTTTTAGTTAAATATAGAAGTGAAAATTCTAGTGAAGTATAGTTTTCGTATTTGAATTATTCTTTTTTTCTTTTAGTTAATTTTAAATTCAAAATCTAACGTAAGTATAATTTTGTTTCAATAATTCTTATTTTTACTTTTTTTTATTGAAAAAGCTGATTTAAAATCAACGGTAATTATTATTTTAAAAAAAGTAATGTTTTTAATTTTTCTCAAATAGATTTGCTTCAATGGCTTATCAAACTGAACATGATTTTTGGCTAAAAGTAAGTTTCCCGAAACCCCTTAGGAGGGTATTTGAAAGGGTTTAGTAAGATACTAAACCGTTCTATATACCCTTCTATATACCCTTTATAAGAGTTTATGAAAGCGTTTATTGTTTTTCTAAACCCTTTGGAGGGGTTTAGGAATGATTTATGTACGGTAAAGAGGGTTTGTGGTACGTTGCACTTTAATGCACCCATAAAGGGTTTATTAATATACGTTTTTTTTTACAGTGTAACAGGACCTCGACATATCTAATAAGATCCTCGAGAATCTATCGTGTTTAAAAATGTGCGAAGTTGTTTTCGTCTTTGTTTTTCAGATTTTGAATGTTTCATGTCTCGAACGAGAACCTACTGTCTTTATACCTTCCAGAATCTAGCGAAATCAGACATCTAATAGAACGATAACATGAATTAGGGATATTGGCTTCGCATTACTCCTTGAAAAACGCTAAGACTTTCTTATCAGGATCAAATAAATTGTAACGCAAATAGAAGGAGTTTAGCTCTACCGTTCTACGCGGCATTGATGTAGTCGGGCTACTTCATTCTGAATCGGTATGACAAATGGAGAGGCATAGTTTAATGTTTTTACTACACGATGTTTATTCAAGTATGCTCTACATCCAAATGTATCCATCTAATACAAAACACACGCTGATTTACGCAACCAAGAAAGAAGAGAACGGAGAGAGAAGAAAAGGGAAAAAAGGGATGTATATCTGAGTAACAGGAAGGCTAATTATAAAAGAGAACTGATGCATCGATGCTGTTATAATCGCCTTGACCGAACAGAAGGAAAGAAGAATATGACCGAGTGCAAGCAGAGAGTAGTTGAGAACGACACAACTCTGGCCTTAAACTTTTCACGCATCAGGGACAATGATAAGCTATTGTTTCATGATTTATGAGAAATAGTATTTAACCAACTTCGTACATAATTTAGCGTCATCAATATTGGCACATAAATCCTTTAATATTTGGCATTAGTATTGAACTAGTATTGGCATATTGCAAACGCTTATGGTTTTAAGTAACAGAACAGAATTGTCCTGTTATTTGGAACCATAAGCGTTTGCCTTATACTAATCCTAACCCGAAACCCCTACAACGAATGCTATTCCCTAGAGTGAAAGGCTAGGGTCTAGAAACGGAAATTCACTCGTGTCTGTCTGTTTATAACTCTTTGTACGAGTGACCCTAATCATGGTAAAAAGTATCGTAGTTGTGGTATAAATGAGCATAGTCATCGTACAAAGTACCACAGTCATGGCATACATGATCATCTTTTTTATACTTTGAAACGTGAAAGTAGTCATTTCGATACGACAACTGTGATACATTTCTTGTACGAATGTCTATATTAAAAGAAGAATGCTTCACAGTTGTGATATATATGACTGTATTAAAAGTTGAAACTGCCAAGGTTTTGATATAATTCGCAGTATTAACTAGCAGCAACCAGGTCTTATCTTTTGGGATTTATTTGGATCTTTCAATAAGTCCACAAGCGTCGTGGAATAGATCCCACTCTCTCGAGGGTGTGGGTGTGGGTGTAGAAGAGAGTGAAATTTAGCATAAGGATAGTGATGATGGTGGGAGTGAGGGTGTTGATATGGATATGGGTATTGGAAAATTGCATCAGAATGAAAAAGTCCTGTTGAAATAATTACATAAGTTCCGTAGAAGAATAAATCCTGAAAAATTAAGTCGCGATAACTCCTCGATAGATGTGATGAGAAAAACGACCCCATTTTACCACTAGTATAATCTCACGTTCCGGGAAAGACACGTTAAAGGCGAACAAAGACGACAGAATTAGCCATTACAGTACAACAACATGATCCTAATGTTCACAAAAATGTTAGCTGCAGGATTAGATATGATTCCTATGACTTCGTCGGGAGCAAAACTTGTAATAGTTTTGTCTGCTCTGAAAACATTCACGCCATACGCGCTAACTTTATGACCATTTGCACTATATTCTTCAGTGCTTTATGAAATCTTACCTCTCCTGTGATATATACATGATCTTTCAAGCCTTACAATATGATCATGTTTTCTATCTTGTATTGTCAGACAGAAGCTAGCTATCTTCCATTTCCAAAGTAGTACATCAGTCTAGGGTTAAGCTAATCGACTTTCGATTAGCGTTACTTGTTGAATATCGACGCTTCAATCTGGTGTCGCTCAGAAAACTCCAGATTTCCATGTTGAGATAAAGTGTTTCAAACGTGACGCCAACTAAGTTTTACCAAAACCGATTAAATGTTATCTGAAGAGGGAGCTCCGTAAACTGCTACGCGCGTTACAATAGACGTGTTGCATGAGAAAACTATCTTGAGAATGGCTGAGTGTACTGGGCTATCCTTTGGTTTATGAGGGTTTCTCGATCTGCTATTTCTTTTTCTATCTATAAAATTCTCTGCAAAACCTCGAAAATTGGTTTTCTAGAAAAGCAGAACCATGGTGTTTCAGTACCAAGAACTCGCAAAACGGTTTTGCTCTAACCACGTAGAACGATATAGCAGAAAATTGGTCGATTCAGCGTGATGGATTAATTTGAGGATAGTCTCATTTGAAAGGGCACATCATAATACGTCAAACCCTCGTCTTCCAAAGTTTGTTACTCTGAACTTTCGTTGCAAAACGTTCTGAGCAAGATTGAAAAGATCGAACTTGCTGTAAAACTTTAACTATGAAGTAGTGGCGTAATCAAGGATGCGCAATTGACCAATTACCCACTAATCCAAAATCTATTGGTCACGGCTTTTTCAGTCGATGACAATTATCTAATGTGTCAAAAATTGTTGCACACTGAGCTTTTTGTAATGGTGATAATTGCCCCTTGCTGACCACCTCTTAAAAGAGTTTCGCTGCAGAATTGCTCACTACTAAAAAAGTCTGGCCCTACCACTGCTACGAAGACTTACAATTTGTTATCAGATGTTTGATTTTTGTGATTCATATTGAATTCCATGTCGAGAAACATCTAAATTCAAAACTTCAACTCGTTTGGACATGTCTCTGAAAAATAGCAAAGAATTCACTGTTTCGCATTATATTGAATGATATTCAGTTCACATCATATATCAGATATTTCATAAGAGCACATTCCTAGATGAGAAATAATTTTTGAGTAAAATGTGTGTGCATCATGTAAGCCCTAATAAAGTGTGAAGATCGCTAATAGAGTTTTCATTCCACCATTTGTTTCTACCGATATATCAACTTTTTACAAATTACTTTTGAGATATTGTCGTGGTCTCTACTCAAGGACAAAAAAATCGAATTTTGAGTTTCCACTTGAAACTTTGCACATACAAAAACCAAAATGATACGTGTATTTAGATTAGGTGTGAGAAGTTATTGTTATCTTGTTGTTATTGATAACAAAAACTTTTTCCCTGAAAACTCAGTTCATTTTTTATATTGGTTATACCGTGCGAATTGGTACTATAGAAGTTAAAAGTTTGTTCTAAAGCATAAGCTCATATAACGGATGTAATTAAAATATACAGGGAGCTGAAACAAGATCTTTTTCAAAAAAAGTTATTTGTTATTTATCTGTTATTTATAACAAATAACAATAACAAAAAATTCACATCCCTAATTTAGATGAATAGCTACTGTTGCTTGTGATCTTTCTAATCTAAATATGGTGAAACAAATGTTTTTCGATTTCTTCTTCTGTGATGGGCCAGTCATCTCTGATTTGATCCGATCCGTAATTTACGGTTGTCTACTATTTGATTGTTTGATATCCCAACAAACTTTTCCGCGCAGTGGTACTACACCATTCCAAGCTCATATCTTGCTTCAACGAACGCATCCGTTATTTTGGTGTATCCAAAATAAATTTTCTACGTATTTTTTATTTCTTCATAAATACGAGCGTTTACAAGCGATTGTTTTCGTGTCGAAATTCTCGTGGCTCTGCTGCATAGTAGGATTTGGTGGCGTCATTTCACGGTTGATTACGGGCATTTCAGTGTTCATTCTTTCAACAACAATAAGTGGGATAGGAAAAGTCGGTATTAGCCATCGATGGTGTGTGGCTACATGGTCTCTGCTTGCCTTGATATTTACAAAATACAAGACATATAGTGTCGATTCATTGATCAATCGATACATAGACGAACGTTATAATGTTGAACCAGATTATCTAGTCTTCAGCAGTGGATTCTCATCGAAACTTATTCAATGTATATCATTGTATACGTTATTTGCAGGCGGAGTCAGTAAAATACGAAATGCCGGTATAAGCTGGATCCTTCCTGGGAATCTAATATTTTATTTGTCTGACCCATCGCTAAATATGTTCAATATATTACCAATGTTTCGAAATAAAATACGATCATTCATCATCCGCCATCCCTCGTTCATTTTGCTTATATCGATCAGTTCATTACTCTTTGAACTTACATCTATTTTCGGAATATTTCTTGCGTCTACGCGTCTGCCAATAGTCATTCTTGCGTGTTTATTTCATTTCGGTATTTGGTTTCTTCTGACCCCAAACTACTTTCCGCAATGTATTTGCTATCTGATGTTAATAGATAATCCATTTTTTTCGACTGAACTGTATGAATGCAAAATATTGGACGTCCACTTTCTAGACTTATTTGTCTTAAGCTTTGGCGCAATGATTATATCTGGATTTGCATTTAGTTTAATCTTTCGGTATGAGGGATGGCCGTTCACATCAATACCAATGTTCTCATTGAATCGTTTGCAATTTACCCATGATTATTTGATTGACGAAAATCAGTTTCACAAATTAGCAAAAGAAGAGTTTCCGTTGATGAATGGAATTTGTATTGGTGGTGAAGATCAATTCAGCGGAGGTCAAATGTGGATTAGAATTACAAAAAATCATGAAAATATTAACATTATTGATCAAATCTGTGTTCATGTTTGCGTACAGGAACATGCTTTTAGGCATAGTCTATGGTCAGCTGTGATGCGATCCATTCTCATTTCAAAAGCTGAAATTGACATCTTCATGCGAAATATGTTTCATCTATTGTTATCAGATAACATTCAATTAGTGAAGCAAAATGATTTTATTAATGTACAGATCCATTTTCGGGATGGGTGGAAAACGTACTCAACAACTGAATACAACAAGGAAGAATGAGTGAACCCTCTCTAACGAGTGACACGCTCCAACTCATATACAAAGAAAAATCAGCGGACTTCAAGGCTTCAAAAGACTTTAAGACACTTCTAGACTTTATGCAACTCCAAAACAGAAGAGTGCTGATTTTCTTTCTCATATACACTGAAAACAAAAACCGTACCACACCGAACCCAAAAGGGTTCGTTGGACTAAAAAAAGGTTTCGTAGATAAAACAAGAGACACTTGAAAAAGTATTCTAAGTCTATGGCGATTATTTTCAGGTAACCGAAGTTTTTACGAAACCTTTTGAGCGTTCCGTATTAATTTCGAAAATGGTTCGGCGCACTAGAAAAAAAATAATATTTTACCAAACCCTTTTTAAGATGAATACGGAACCCTCAAAAGGTTTCGTAAAAACTTCGGTTACCTGAAAATAATCGCCATAGACTTAGAATACTTTTTCAAGTGTCTCTTGTTTTATCTACGAAACCTAAAAGAGTTCAGAGAATTGAAACGAAATCGAAACCCTTTTCGGTTCCGTACTAAGTACGAAACCTTTTTTAGTCCAACAAATAGTGTACTGCGTGATTGATATTTTTACTCGCGATCACGATCACGATCACGATCACGAGTGAATCACGCGTGATCGTGGTCGTGATCGTGAATTTAGTGATCATGTAGTGCACTAATTTAGCTATAAAAGACAAATATTTTATTGGTCGTGCCATCTATGTAATCTATTCTATTGGGTATAGTTAAAGGCTTCGACTTGAAAAGAATGCATATCAACAGCGAAGTTAGATTGTTTTCTTTATATTTATTCTATGAAAATACTTTGACGATGTAAAAGAACTTTAATTTGTTTTAAATTCTAGAATGTATTCCGCTGACCCTCTTAAATTCAATAGAAGAGATTTAGCACGATTGATTATAGAAAAACCTATATCTATATCATATAAAAAAACAACGAATGCATCAGCGTGTTGGTCTCAATTTAGTTTAATATTTGTCAACAATGTTAAGCAAGATTTTATCGTTAGCGATTGCTGTAAATCAATGCTGGTGGGTGTGGGTGGGGTGTGTATTATTTTTAAAGAAAATAGACTACAATCCAGATTTCGACCTTTCCCAAGGGTCTTCATCAGGTAGTTCTAGCTCTACATAATAAATTAAATTGAAAAGGAAATTTTTTGAAGAATTTCCTCTCACATTTAACTTAAAAGGCATAGCAGAGATTTCTTAAATATAATATGGTGTGTATTATTTTTAAAGAAAATAGACTACAATCCAGATTTCGACCTTTCTCACGGAAAGTTAGAATTCGTTTTGGTTTTTTTTAATTTTTTTAAAGTTCTCTTCAAAATTCTAGAAATGGTTCAGAGGGGTAAGTGTTCTGGGTTGTTACACGTAAGAGATAGGTTTTTTTCTGTTCTTTTACCTTGGATGATTGCCGTGTTGGTGATCGATATTTCTCATTATTCTCTGTCGAATATTTTTTTTGGAAGGGATTTTGAGGCACCAGTTGTAGTTGTCATTATTATTGATGGTTTAATGGTCAATATCGTCGCAGGTAGTCAGTCCTTTGAGGAGGTGTCTGGTGATTGTGGCGGTGTTGGAATTCTCAAATAATCGTTGAGACGAGTTTGATCCCAATTGTCGTTACGCTCGGCTTGTCGTTGTCTTTCAATATCATAGCGTTCAAGCATTTCGACTTGATGTAATTGTTGTTGATTATCATCGTTCGGTTCGTCTACGATAGTATTGCGGTGTTCTTGATAATCCAATAGTCGTTGTTGGTCCCAATTATGAAATCTGTTGAATTCCTGTTGTCTTTCTTCATCGAATGCTTGCGTATCTCGAATTTGTTGAGATTGTTCACGCTCATCTTGAATCAATAATAGTTGTTCCAGTGCTGCAAATCCTTCTAATTCCATTATTTCTATTTGATCACGACGTTGTTGTGTAGTCATGATTTCCCATTCGTACGCTTCTAATAGATTCTCTTGGTCATCCTCACCACTGTAATAATCATAATCACCTGGAATTACTATGCGTGGATGGTAATTCGTTGGTTGTCTGTTTGGATCTTGTTCTTGTTGTTCAAGTCGTTGTAACCATCTCTGATACCGTTCTTGTCTTCTTTGTTGGCTTCGGCCGCGTGGATATAGTCTACGTTGTTGTCCTCGTAATAGGTCTCGTTGTTGTTGTCGTCGTTGTTCACGTTGTGTTTCTTGTTGATGTCGCCGTTGCCGTTGTGCTTGTTCAATTGCTCGTTGCTCTCGTCGACGTTGAGCTCGTCTTTGTCGACGTCTTCGACGGCCTTCTCGTCTACGCCGTAAGATTTCATCTTGCTGATCTGTGGTGTTGGTTTGTATCTGACTTGGAATCATGTTTCCCGTATTCATTGGTAGGATTGATGATTGACTTAAGTTGACTATTCTCGCATATACGATTTGATCAATTTGTGTTTCATTTTGATCATTATTGAGCGATGGTTCAGATGGCATATTTCCAGGTTGAGTACTGTTGGTTTCCATTGTAAAATAAAAGTATTTCAATCTTCGAAAAGTTTCAAAAAATATGAAAATTTGATTTGAAATGAAAAAAATTACCTACAATTAACGTTTCTAAGTTTATATTGTTTTGTGAGAATTTATTTTAGCTAGAGTTGAGTTGAATTTATATGTTAAATCTAGAATTACAAAAAAAAAGAAAGTTTTTTTTTCATTTAAAAATGATTATTCACTATTAAAACAAAAAAGAAAAACATTGAAAAATTGTTTTAAGAATTTTCTTACGAACATCAATACCAGTGGTAGCTATATATATATATATATATAAGAATTATTTCAAAATGTATAGATTGTTTCAAGTTAGTTTGTTAAATTAAGTAATCTTCAATGCTTTATATTGATAGTCTTCGTATTGAGTTACATTTTTCTTGTTGATCAATTAATCACTTGATATAACATCTCGTAACAGTGATTTGGATGGTTTCTTCTTCACGAGTAGTTGACATAAATTTTTATTACTTTTTGTACCAAATCGTAGACGAATATTTTGCTTAATTGGATTCTTATTAATATAATGTTCATTCCATAAATGTTTTAATTCTTTGGTGAAATTTACCAGAGGGCCAGATTCAAAAGTATAATGAATAAAAAGGTCCTTTGATTGAATATTCTGTTGCTGTTGTTCGTGTTGGTGTTGTTGTCTTTCTTTAATTGTTGGTTGATATAAAAGTGTTCGATGTAATTGTTCATACATGATATTATCAAGATTTTCCATTACAGATAAAACATTATGTTTTTGAAAGAATTTGTTAAAATTATAATTGATAAATTTTGGCGGATAACCATTTAATAATAAAGTAAATTCAATGTTAATACGTTCTTTATCAAAGTCATCTAAATGGGAACATAGACGTATTGCACGAATTAGTCTTCCATTAATCGTACTACGATGTACATGTCGTGGATGATCCGATGAGAATGGTAAAATATATGGTTCAGCTGCTAATTTGTGATAGACTGATGTTTTCAATTGTCCATTATCATTTTCGACTAGAACATCGAGATATTCCACTTTTGAACTAATTGTATGAGTCAGACGAATATTTTCATCTTGTTGATTGGCTTCAATAAGTCGAGTATTGATTTCATCAAATGATAAATTTGTAGTCATAAAAATATCATCAATATAACTATTAAATTAGAAAAAAAAACATTTCGTAAAATTGACAAATACAAATAGTATTAAAAAAAAAAAGAATAAATCAATACAACTTACCGACCATACATTTCATTGTGTGATCGTTGATATTCTAACAATGTTTGTTCCCATTCCCACATATAAACATTAGCTAATGTCATTGTAAATGGTGATCCCATGGCACCACCACGAATTTGTTGATAATATTTATTGTTATAGACGAAACAGTTGGTATCTAAGACAAGACGAGCAAGTCGAGTTATAGTATCAATGGTCATTCCATGAATTCGACGATTATCTGCATGTTTCGATAAAAACTTTTGTAAAGCAGCAATAGCACCATGACGAGGTATCATCGTATAAAGATTAGTAATATCAAATGTTACAAATAATGTTGTTGGTAAGAGTCGACCACTATTTCGATAATTTTCAATTTGTCGAACAAAATCAATACCATTGATAAATGTAGTTGCTTTTGTTACTTGATTAAACATAGGACGAAGTAAAATATCTAAGAAATGTGAAACACCAGTTGCTGCTGCTTTAATTGATGAAACAATCGGTCTTAATGGTGTACCAATCTAGTGATGATAAAGAAAAAATAAATATTCACAATATAAGCAATGAAAAAAAGAAAAACTTACTTTATGAGGCTTTGGTATAAAATATAGATGAGCCAATTCAATTGTTGCTGCATTTGGTCGCATATATTGTTTCCATAATTGAAGATTAATATCTTTATTCTTTAACATTGGATCAATTAAAGTTAAAACCATTTGTAAATGATTTTGACATGGATTAATACCGCTTGTTATTTCGTTGTAAGCATTTGTTTCAGACATGTATTGTAATGCTTTTCGATGATAATCATGTACACTACCAAGATGTAGTACTTTACTTTTATCCGTAGGTCGTATAATAATATTGGACTTTTTAATATGATGCCGAGTATTTCTTATTAATCGAGATTCATATTGAGTACGTGCCAATAATTTTGATGGTAATGGTGTAGTATATAATCGGCGAAGAAGATTTTCTACAGCTGTAAAGAAATCTTTTGTACGTTGATCAGAATAAGATATGCAGTTGTTTGTTAAACCAGTTTTAAAACTTTGTACAATACTGTTATGTTCTCGTTGAATAATTTTGTCAATATTTTGATTTCGAAAGCGACTTTGACATGGCGGTACATATTTTGGACCATTTGTAAGATATGTATAATGTTTAGACGTTAGAGAAGAAGCTACTTCAACGATGGGCGATGATGGAAAAATATGACTGAAGTTATTTCTTACTTTGCTCCGACGGCACCAGCCATGTTTATTGTCATCGGAGCGTCGTCGAAAACCGATATTTTTTTCTTCAAAATGCATTGAGATCGTTGAACCATATTGCTTTGACGTGCTGTAATGGCATTCATAATTTGAACGAGTGACTTTGGAATCGGTACTTGTCCACCAGCAGAATCGATTAGTTTCTTCTTTTCATCAGCAATAATATTCACGTGACTTCGAATTATTTCTTCAACTGTTGTCATTTCCAATGTCATTATATCGTATTTAAATTGAGCAATAGTTTTAAGTCGACGAAATGATAATGTAGCAGATTTATCTCGATTGATTATGGATTGTTTGAGTAGATGTTCAACATTATCGATGGAATGATCGAGAATATTCAATGATGATGGCAATCGTTTCGTATAGATACGTTGTTTGAGAATGGCTAATTGTTCTTCAGCATGTAGTTTACTTTGTGCAGCTTGCCAAATAATTTTAGCTGAACGAATCTAAAACGAATAATTTTATATTTTTACACTTTCATATCAAATATTCATAAGGAAATATAGTTCTAACTTACTTGATCATCAGTGGGATTTAAATTATAAAATGTTTTAATTAAACGATGATCAATGGCATCAAATTGTAATATAAGTTTTTTTCGTTCAAACTCTGCACATAATTTATGTTGACCTTGACGAACAAATGCAGTCATAATTGTTGATAGTGTATTGATATCGATTGATTCATGAATTGGTTGTTGTTTATATTGATTTAAATTATTTTCAGTTGTTCGAAGTCGTTTTTGAATCAGTTGATAATGTTTTTCCAATTGAACTTGAGTTTTAAATTTAAATCGAAATAAATTGTTTTCTTTAGCAATATTTTTCAACATTGGTGAAGACCAGATCGATTCAGAGATGCATACTTGTTTGTAATGTTCCCAGAAAGATTCTTCCAATTTTAAATAAAACACATTATTGAGTAAATGTGCATAGGTACGAACATATTTCAGTTTTTCAGATGTATCCAATAATTGTACAAATTTGTCCGCATCAGATAAGGATTTCGATAACATTTGTTTAAATATTTGATCCGATAATTTTAAATATTTCGGCTTCCAATCTGACGTTGTTTCATTCAATTCCTGTTGTTCTTGAATATTATCCATAGTTTTTGAACGTGGTCGTTTTCGAACTATATTTGAAATTGATATTTGACTTAATGATTCCGTAATATTGTTTGATTTTGTTGCACGTTTACGTTTTGTTGTTCGTACATTTTCTTGAATATTTCCTTTGTCAGAAGTCTCCTGTTGGTTATTTGTTCGCTATTTTAAAATAAAAAGAAGAATATTATATTATCATCACTGGAAAACTTTTCAATATTAATTTATATTACCTGATTATCTATAGGTACTAGATGTTCTCTATTTATATTTGGAATAGTAGATTCTTGTACAACATTTTGATCTTGATTCGCTTGATTATAATTGTTGATCAATGCTGTTATTGCTTCATTATTGAATCCCCGTTTGCGAAGTTTTGCTTTGTAACGTTGCAGCTTACGATTGCCTCGACATTTATTCTTCTTTTTCTTTGCTTCATCTTTGGATGATTTTTCACCTGATTGGGAATTTTTAGTTCCTAATTCTCTATTAGATGTTGGTTGAACAAACACAATAAAACTTTGTGTATCATTTGCTTGAACATTTTTGTTGTTTTCATGATCATCAGGATTACGTGACATGTCGTCGATGAACGATCGAGATCAGTTGAATAGAAGAATAGTATTTGCTAAATCTACAAAAACAAACAAAAAAACGTAATAATAATTAATAGATTTCTATTGATTTCTATTTCGAAGAGACAGTTGAAAATAATTATTCTATAGTGCAACTTATTATTAAAATTATTTCGATTCCGTTGAAGAATCTTGTCAAGCGACTATTTTCTCTCAAGAAGAATTATTTGAAAAAAATTGGAAGAAAATTTTTAATTATCTTTTAGTTCATAATAGAGAGTGATTTAGTCAACCAGAATAAATTTCTAGAGAAAGATATTTCAATTACAATGAAGACTTTAAGAACAGTTAAATGAATTGTTTAGATGTTTTTTTCTGGCTGTATAAGTAAGAATCCGCCATAGAGCACCGCTAATGTTAATGCTTCTTTCATGATGACTCATCAATAGAGAAAAAGAAAGAGATGATATATGTCTCATTGTTAAAAAGGAATAAATTAAATAGTTCTTTTTTTTTATTAGTATTCAATATAAAGTATGAAAAATTGATTATTATGAGAGAGAATAATGTTTAAAATGAGAGAAATCTCTGATAATGGTCTTTTATATATAGACGGTTGTGAAAATAAGAAGAAAAAAAAAGAATTTAATAACGAAGTTGAATTTTCTCAATGAATCGAATGATTGAAGGAAATAGATTAGAATTTATTCCTAGTTTTCGTGAATTTATATTGAATTGTTGACGAAATTTATTGTTTCATTAATTCGGTTTTGTTTGAATATGATTCGTTTAAAGTTGTGTATTATTTAAATCTAGAACAAAAAGAACAATGGATTATTTATTATTATTGAAGTTATAGTCGTTGAGGATAGAAAAGTGATCGAAATTATTGAAGAATTTATTGAAAGTGTTATAAGAAGGGTTTAGTTTTTAAAAATTACATGTAACATTTTATATTTTTGTTTACAATATTTAATTATTGTTTTATTTCTTTTCGGGTGTGGAATATTCGGGCAAGGTATATGAAGTTGACGATCGTATATAAAAGGTTTGTCAAATAATCCATTATTGAATTGACTTAATATTTCAATTCCATTTTCACCAGCTAATAAACATAATTCGGTAACATATTTCCAAAATTCACCAATATGTCTTAGATAATCGGAGATCAGAGTTTCTTCAAATTTGATGACTTCAGTATAATTAATATCATTGATATACAGACCAGTTAAATATAAAAGATTTGCAGACAATGATCGCTCATAGGGCCATTCATTCATTCGATTTTTCTTACACCTTTTACATTGACATGTATCATTATCGGTACTAAAAGAAATCAGAAATAATTTAAATTGGAAAGGTAAAATCAAGGATCTATTACCAGTATCTGATTCCTTGGAATGGTATTTCTTTGCCATTTTTGTCATATGGATTCAACATCCAAAGTTGATATTCTTGTGTAGCAGGAAAAATACCAAAATCAGCATCAAGTTTATTGTTATTTAATGCGATTTTCTTCATAATTTTATCAAAAAGAAATTGATCGTTTTGATGATAAATATATTCTTTTAAGATGGGTTATCTAAAACAAAAAAAAGCAACAACAACTATTTCATTTGAATAAATATCTAAATGTAGAATGAAAACAAGAAGAAAAAAGAAATTATGAATAATGAATAAACTGAATATTGATTAACGAAAACAAAATCATAGAATAAAAAGAATTAGCTTAAAATATAATAAAAAGACTAGACTTAAGTTAATATACTAAAACTACTAAACACATCTAAATGGTTATGTAATAATTTTATAATAGAGATGTTTTCATCATGCATTATTATGAATCATTATTCAGGATTGTTGGCTGGACGACGATTGAGTTCTTTTATCTTTTCAATTATTGAAAGAATAAATTCTGTACTTCTTAGTGTTGGACGCGGCATTTGTGACTTCCATTGAGGATCATAGGGTAGACCATAAGGTCGCTTAGGATCAATGTCAGTTGGACATATCATGTTTAATTTCGTTTCACAATGAATAATAAATAATGTTTCAATAAGGTATCGTAAGATGATTGATTCATCAGTGGGTACTAGACGAAAAGAATAAGAGAAATGTAATTTTTCTAGAAAAACAAATAACTTGGAAAGTTCACTTACAAACGGCAATAATTTTCATTTGATACAAATCAGTTTCTATGTATGGTAATTCATCAGCAAGACTTGTAAGAAAACGATCAAAAAATAGTCGTTGTTCATGTTTTTGTACGCATGAGAATTTACTTCGTGTTGCTGATAAGGGTACATGACATAAAAGGTCTACTATTTTTCGTTGATGTTCTGTATCTACTGCTAGCATCAAGATGATTTCTGAACGAGTAGCTCCAATAATTCTTGCATAGAGATCATCTTCTCTGTGCGTTTCATCTTCTAACATTGGAATAAAACACCAATAACTTGGATTACGATCAAGAAATAGTTGAAGTGCCACTGGACAATGAGCTGAATGTTCATAGAGACGCATTTCTCTCATGATATAATGTCTAAAATAGATTAAAAGAAATCGATGAAAACAATAAGTATTTTTATGAATGTGTTGTAAAATAAAGCACATACTGATATTGTTCTGATGTTGTCATCATTTGATGATGGAGTGCTGAACCCGTTAAATAACTATGTATCATTTGATTGCATACCAATCGATGATCTATAAATAAAAAAAATAATTTAATAATTAACTATGATCGACTATTGTTTTTGTATTTTTAGTTAACATACGACGTAAAGCATCAACTAATGTACCAGATGTTGAATCCATCAATTCATATTGACCACAAGGACATGTCATAACATAGACAATATTCGATGTTGTACATGTCTACAATGAAAAAAAAAAAAGATCGTTCATTATTTTGTAAAAATTTCATCAACATACTGCTGGACAATTCAAATATGTAGTATAACCATTGACGAAACGATGTTGTGAACTATTTTCGAAATCAATCGCCGCTGACCTTGATGAATTTTGATTTTGATTTTCCATTGAATGACAATATTGACAATCATTAGTACGACATGGAGCCATACTATATCTTGCTTGTGGTAATTCGTCGTTACAAAAAAGACCTTGCGTTGTTGAACAAGGTTCAGCGCCACGAAATCGACATGTTTTCATATAGTATACATCGACTATAAAACACATGGAAAAAAATATCTATGATAACAATGAACTATTGATATTTACCATCGATTTGTAAAAAGAATTCTAATAGTATAGACATTTGTTTAGAATTGAGAGTTGGATTTTTTACAGCAACATCTGGTCTTTCGAGTACTTTTCTTCGAAATAATTGATGTACTCCAAGAAGTAGATAACAAATCGAACTTAATCGATCAGCATTACTCTTAATAACCAATTCGGTTACTTGTAATCTTGTCGATAATTCTTTAGCATCTTTGGACGATAAACAAAATGGATCTCGATCATGATCATAATTGATCGATGCTGATGCATCAGTTGTGGTAGAAGAAGCCTGTTGACGTCGTCGTAGTTCATCTGGTCCAAGTCGACTATCTAGTTGATGATAATAAAAATCGAATAGTAGAAAGATGATTCACTCCACTTTTTTTTTGAATCAATACAAACTTGGTACATTAGCTAATAATAAATGATCATAGACACCAGGTGTTATTACTGATGTTTTTGGTGGAAATATAGATAAATAAGAATAACGTTTAGAATCATTTGAACGTAATGTTATTGATTGATAGCCTTGTCGTTCATTGTTCGATGATGATGATATTGTTGTTGTAACAGGTTCAGTTCGATTTGAATCCATAGTATTATGATTCATATAATATAATATAATATAGAGTACAGATGATATTATCTACAATAGAAAACGAAGAAAAATTCATAGTTCTAAAGAATTTATTTTAAATTCTAATTATTCTAACACACTACAACGAATATTCTAAATATAAAAATGTACGAATTCATATAAATCCAATTTTTTTTGTTATTGGAACTAAAGCTAAAACAATGATTAAAAATTGTTTTTAATTAATTTAATTTAATATTGGATGTGTTGGCCGTTGTTCACTGAGAAGTGAATTTAATGAATATTGATGTTTTGTTGTAATAATAAATTGTAATTTATTGTTTTCGAACGTTGTATTTTCAAGTTGAATATTTTGCGATAGAATTTCACGTAATTTTTTATTGAATATACCTTTAGGGCTCATATTATCATAGAGATAAGATAAATGAAAACGTCGATTTCTTTTCAATAAATCTTGTTTTTTCTGTAAGAATTGTCGTTGTTCACTCATAAAATTAAATAGACGATGACGAAATTTTTCATATGAATGTTGATCAAGAGACCATTGTTGAAGTAATGTTGCATTGAAAAATATAAAAAAATGTTCAATATGCTTTTGAACAAATTCAACTGAATAACCATTTGCTAAACATGTCATTTCAAGATAGATTCGTTCTTGATTAAAATCTTCAATTGTTGTACAATAACGAACAGCACGTATAAGACTTGATCGTAACCAATGACTATGTTTTCTTATGGAATCTCCCTTTGATGATATATAGGGTAATGTATAAGGTTGTTGATTTGGTTGACGATGAACACGACTATAAAGTAAACTATGACGATTTTCTAAATAAAGATCAAGATAATTTAGATTTTTTCCAATATGAATATCAAAACTTAAGTGATGATATTCCGATTTCATTGATTTAAGTATTTGTTCAAGTTCATCCAATGATTGGTTCCATGTAAGGAAGATTTGATTTTGATATCGACCATAGAATTCATTTTGTTTTGTAGATGATTGATCAATGAGAAAATTATCCATTCGATTAAGATAAATATTTGATAATGTTTCGATGAGACCTGAATTCGATGGACCACCTTTAAGAAATCGATAAATTTTACCATCATAATAAAATCGATTATTATGTAAAAATAAACTTGTTAATCGAACAATTTTTGTGATATGAATATTTTCTATTATAGGTAAATGATAATATTTCACGAAAAAATCTAATAATGTACTTAATAGAACATGATGTGGAACTAAATGATAAAAATTGTTAATTGTAATTGTAACAAAATTCGTTGTTGAACGAAGACGATCATATTGATCGATATAATTATGAAATTTTTCTAAGAAATCAGTACCATTATGAAATATTCGTCCTTGTTGATATATATCAATGACTGGTTGTAATAATTGATTGAGAAATTTTCCTAAACGATACGTAGCATTATATTGTGTTGTCATCATCATTGGTTTTACATTTAATAATGGTTGTTTTGATAAATCTGGTAGAAAATATAAATAAGGTAATTCTACTTTATCAATTACGACATTAATTTTCTTAAGTTCATCTTTATATTTTGTTGTATTGACAAATATATTTTCAAATTCACAATTCATCAATTTTATTTTGTTTGTTAAATAATCACGTGTTGCTTGAACATTTTCCTTGTCAATAGTCATATCGATTTCGAATAGATCTGTTTCTAACATAAATTGATTTGATACTATTTCAAATGATTTTCTATCACCAAGATAGAAAACATTTTGTTGATCGTGAGTACGTCGTAAAATTAAATCAAATCTTTTTAAATCATTTTGTATTTGTTCAATAAGTTGTTGTTCATAATGGGCACGTTCATACATCGATTTGGATGGTATGATTGTAGAAAACATTTCCATATAGAGATCTTTTATTTTCTTTTGTAGAAACATGGATTGAACCATATTGACATTCGATTTAACGAATAGTAGATTTAAATCATGTTGTAATTGTTTATAATTTTTTTCTAGATTTTGTTTTTTTGTCATTTGATAAGGTGGTATATAACTTGGTCCGCGTGATAATAATCGTAGATGTTCTTTATTGAATACATGCATGGATGCATGTACAATAACTGTTGGTGAAAAACTAACTTTAGCTAAATTAAATTCATCTGATTGTTGACCAAAATGTTGTCGTAGATAATAGTTTAAACGAAATTGTTCGGTACAATCAAGTTTTCTTTTACATAATTCATAACGACGATAAAAAATATCGATCAATGATGATGTTAAAATTGATTGAGATAGTTGTTCTTGTTTTTGAAATAAGAGTCTGCATTGTGAAATTTTCTTTTCAGCCTCTTGGATCGATTTCATCATGAAATTATTCAAACAGTCTTGTAATTTTTTCTCATCTTGATCGATTTCTTGATGATAAAAATTTGGATTCACAACTGTTGTTGATATTGTTCTTGATAACATAGATAGAGCTTGTGTCACACTTTGTTGAGTTGGATAATTACATTGAATACGATGTTTTAATTCGATGAGTTCTTTTTTTGCTGTTTGATATTCATAATAGAATTTGTATAGATTCTTGCTAAACTCAATCTAAAAAATAAATAAATAAAAACAAAAGAATTTATATTCTAGATAAAATTCTACTTGTTGATCTGTTGGTTGAAGTTGAAGAAATTGACGTTCTAATAATTGATCTTGATATTCATAGTTGAATCGAGCAAGTTGATAATCTGATTTCATTGTATACGGTACTAAACGGTAATTTTGAATAAATTCATCGAGCTGATGTTCGATATTATCTGTGAATGGAACTAAATCTTTCTTATCACTATTCAATTGTTGTTGTAAATGTTCGAATTGTTGATCTAATTCATCGAGATACTGTTGAATATAAATTGCATATTGTTTTTCATCACTAGTTTTTATTGAAAGTTTTTCTTTGACTTCTATTGACCATAGTTGTTCTTCAACACCGACTTCATAATATCGTGTCCAACGTTGTAAATTCAATTGAATTACTTTCATCTGATGCTTATATTCGATAATAGCTTGTAAATCACTCCGTGGTATCATTGAACTGACCATAGTATGATGGAACATTTCATCCATGGTTTCTAAATAGGATGTTATTTGATTCGATGGTTGTTTAATATCGACCACTTTCGATAAACAAATTCGTTTTTTTCTTGAGTTTTCTTCTTGACTTGATGTTGGTGTAGTTACTGGACGTTTTTGACCTTCCGTTGATAATTCAATTAATTTTTGTGATAAAACTTCTTCTTCTTCTTCTTGAACATTTTCAGTAACTTCAAAGTTTTCTTCGTCGTCGTCATCAGCATCCGGTTTAAAATGAATATCAAAATCTTCATAATAATCTTCTAAAATCGTACGTTCAACTTCTTTTTTATCATCATCATTGTCGTCGTCGATAATAACAATATCAAATATATCATCAAACCAATCCGTATTATTAAATGTAAAATTGTTCATAATTAAATGAAACAAACAAAAAAGATATTGATATCTACAATAGAACAAATAGTTTAGAAATTTGTTTTTCTTTCTTTTTATTGAGATAATTGAAAGAAATAAAGAAAAAATTCCTAAATCGATGGTCGAACTAAATTTTCATAGCATAATTCACCATTTGATTGAACTCGAATAAATGAATCGTCAGCATCTAAATGGCCAAAAGTATTTAATTTTGTTTGAGCATGTGTTATGAAAAGAGTTTCAACAAATCGTCGTAATACACTTGAAGCTTTTTCTGGTACTAAATGAAATGAAATTAAAAAGAAGAAAAAATAATAACAACACATTTAATACTTACATACGGCTATGATAGAAGCTTGATAGAAATCAAAATGACTATTTGATTGAGTAAGATATTTCTTTTGTTGAAAAAATTCTTCAATATTCAATTTTTGTTCAGTCGTAAAACGATAATTCGTATTCGTTGGTACAGGTACATCATTAGCAAATTGATATTGATGATGATCAACGAATTTAATTTCACGTTCTTGTTCTTGTTCTTCATAAACTGTAAGTCGTTGTGGAATAAATGACCAATAGTCAGGATTTTCATCCAAGAAATGTTGCATTGCTACTGAACAATAACATAAATGTTGATATAATTTCATACGATCTTTTACCAATGTTCTACAAAGAATGTAGTTAAGAAAGAAGCAAAAAAAAAAGAATATCAATCTTACTCATAAGATTTTATTGTATCTTGATTAATAAAATTTGTTAATTTTTTTCCAAGAAGAAATTCTTTTATAATACGATTGCCATGTTTTCGATGATCTATATTAATATAATTTTTTAAAGAAAAAGAAAGAAAGCAATAGATAATTACATGTGAGACGTTGTGGTAAAGATACACTTGTTTCACCAATATAATCAAATTGTTTACATGGACATGTAAGAACATAGATAATATTTTGAGTTGTACATGTTGCTGGACAATTTAAAATCGATCGATAACCATTGACAAAAATATGTTGTACAGTTGATTTAGATTCTATTTGACGAGAAGGATAACATAAAGAACAAGATTTTTGATGACATGCTTCCATTGTATAACGTCCATAAGGTGGTCGTTCATTTGTTGAAAATATACTTGATGGTATATTAATAATAGGTTGAGCACCACGATATGAACATGTTTTCATATAGAAAAGATTATAATCCATTTGAAGATAGAATTCTAATGCAATTTTATATTCATTTTCATAAAGAGTTTCTTCTTGAGGATGAGTGGAAAAATGATACATTCGCTTATAAGCCAATTGATTAAGTAAGGTTAACATTTTTTTTAAATTAAATTGTAATATATCTCGATGAATATTCCAAGATTGACTTAAACTATCGATCCATTGTTCATGATCATTTTGATAGGTTGTTGGTTGATGATAACCAAACAATTGACGTTGTATCAATTGACTTTCATCGAGTTCATCGACTAGAACGAGACAAAATAGAAATTTCAATGATTCATTTTTTTTTATTACTTGATACATTCGTTAATAGAAGGTCATCATCAGATGATGTTGTTGGATAACATGGAAGAAGAAGATAACGTTTTGGACGAGAATTAGTCGACATTCTATATATGTGTGTAATCTAGAATAGAAGAACAAGAACAAAACAAAAACATATAAAATAAAGTTTAAGATTCTCGTTTTCGAGCTAAGAGACTATCTAATGAAAATAAATGTTTAGCATTAAGAAGAATTTTTGTTTGTTTCGATGATAATGTTGCATGCGAATTTGTATATGTTGACCAAATAGTATGAAATTTTTTTTGAAATTCATGATACGCTCCATAATCATAAAGATAATTGAATTCAATGATAGAAGAATAATTTTGAGATTGCCATCGTTGAAACTTTAATAAATTTGAACGAAGTTGTTGATATGTTAATTCATTAACTTGAACTTGATAGATATCAACATTAAAATAACGATTGAATTTTTCTAATTCACTTTCAATAAATTCATTTGAATAACCTGATATTAAACAATGAATTTCCATCTGAATTCGTTGACGAGTAAAATCTCGATAATCTGAACATAATTGTATGAGACGAATTAATGTTGAACGAAACCATTGTTGATATTTTACTTTTGGATAACCTGTAACATAAGGTAGTAACACTGATGATGTATTCATTGTCGAATACAATTGACCATGGCGATTTTCTAAATGAATATTTCGAATGTTAATTTGTTGACCATATTCAATGTCCATATCAATATCATCATCAGAGAATTCTTTTAATTCGAGAAGAAATATACGAAGATTTTCTTTGGATTGATTCCATGTAAAAAATAATTCATCATTATATTGGAGAAGAAATTCATTTTGAAATTGTTGATTATCTTGAAATTTTTTCATTTTCCAATAATATAAACATAAATTAGATAATAATGTACTGAAACGAGTTTCATTTGGCATACCTTGATTGAAAGTATAAATATAATCTCCGAAAATAAATAATGTATATTTTAAATATAATTCTAGTAAACGTTCAATAGTAACAATTGATATATGATTAATTGGTTGATTTTGACGATGTTTTGCTAATAGATAACCAATTCGATCAACAACAGATTGATGTTGAAATAAGGAAAAAAAATTTTGAATTTTAATTCTTACTAATAATGTTGTTGGTTTAAGTTTCGAAGAACATTGATGATGATGAAGACATTGAATAAAATCGAAATCTTGATCAACAACAGATTGTTTTAATATATCTTCAATTGTTGGTCGAAGTAAATCATCAAGATAATTCGATAATTTCGATGTTACATTTGATTCCATTGAAAAGATTGGTTTGACATAGGATCTATCAAATAAAAAATAAACATTCTTTAATTGAATATCATTACGTTGAAGAAAAAGTTGTTGATAAATATCTTTAGTTATATAATGTTCATGTTCCAAAAATTTTAATGTCATATTAATTTTATGAATATGTTGATTAACTATTGTCTCCATATTTGAGATAGAAGAGAGAAGTTCATAATCGTCTTGATGTTGTTTCATATAATTTTGACATCGTTCATAATATCTATCTTGACCTATTAAATAGAATTGATTGGTATGATGAGTTGTTCTCCGTAGAATAAGATTATGTTCATGAAGACATTGTTGTATGGTTCCAATAAGTTCTTGTTCATGATATGAACGTTCTAACATTGATGGTGATATACTTCGATTGGATAAAGAAAATATTTTGTAAAACTCTTCTTTTGTTTTCTGTTCAATTGTATTGAATAATTTTCTATCATTTGGATATTTTTTTACGAGATCGACTAATAAGTGTTGTTGTAATGGTTGATATTGTTTTTCAAGAAGTTGATCTGATAATTTCAATTGTAATTGACATGGCGCTACATAAGATGGACCACGACGTAATAATTGTAGTTGTTTTCTTGAGAAATATTTATTTTTCATTATATTTTTATCTATTTCTAAATTATTGATAAAACCTATACGATTTCTATCATCAAAAAATAGACTACGAAGATTATAATTTGTATGAAAATCTAATTTTAATTTCATTTGTTTATGTATTAATTCGATACGTTGATCGATTAAACGAAATAATATTTCATTCATAGTTTTACCAACTATTATTTCATTTTTTTGTAATTTTAATTTTGTTTCATATTGATAGATATTTGTCTGTAGACATAGTAAACGTAATGCCATTAATTTTGTTTTAGTTTGTTGTAATAATTTTTCATATAGATCAATTGGTAATAAATGAAATTCTAATTTATCATAAGATCGAGGTGGTTGATCATAAAGTAATTGTAATCGATGATAGATCAATTCATGTTTCATTGTTATTAATTGAATATTTGTTTCCAATATTTGTTTTCCAATGTCAATCTATTTTCAATGTATTTAAATCAATTCAAATTAATATATATATATATATATATATATATAAAATAAAATTCTCAATTTACTTGATACTGTGTTGAAGTTTGTTTTTGATATTGAACTTGAAGTTGATGATCATGATATTTATTATATAATAATGCAATAGTATATTCAGATTCCATATGAATTTCGATTAAACCATATTCATTGACAAGGTTTTCAATCATATTTTGTGTATTTGTATCAATTTTAAATGAATTATATTCTGCTCGATAATGATCCAATTTAGTTTGAAACTCAAGAAGCCGTTGACGAATCAATGTTTCATTATTTAACCAAAATGGTTCTTGTTGTCTCACTGAAAACAATTGACCTAGACCAGCTTGTAAATAGAGTGACCATAAATTATGATAATATTCATAACGTCCTATTTCATAGAGAATATATGCCATATGACGACGATCTTTTTGATTTAATGGAGAAGTTATTTTTATCAATTCAGTTTGTAGATATTTTGGTATTGAATTATCGTCATCATTATCATCATCATTCTGGTTAGTCATCGATAATTGACTTAATCGTTGTGATAATCGTTGTTGTTGTTGATCATAATGAAGTTCAATATATTGTATGTCGTTATCATCAATATCATTGAAATATTTAGTAAAATAATCTTGTTCTAATTCAGTACGATTCATTTCTCCATATGAATCACCATCAATAACATCGAATTGAGTAGGAAATAGTTTTGAATCTAAATATTTTTCCATGATAATAGAAGAACGATATCTAAAATGAACGAACAAAACTAAGATGAATGAAAAAAAAAAAGAAAATGAAAATTTTATTTTTGATGATAATAATAACAATAGATGTTATGTACTTTTTGTGTCATCATATTCAAACGCTGATCAAATGATTTTAATATCGTTTCCGATAATCGTTCTTCAATAGGTAATGAATGTTCATGTTTCCAAAATAGAACCATATCAGAATTGAATAAATTTTGTAATTTTGAACAATTTACTTCAGACATACCAATCAATAAGGTAAGTAGTTGACTTTTATATTCATGAAGTATTTGACGATGCTGATCAATGAGTTGCTTTCGAACAACATGATCTGTAATCGTTTCTATGAATGATGGTAAACCAACATTGATGTAATCAAATAAAGATGGCCATTGATTTTGTTTTTCATAATTTTTCAAATGTTGAATTTCTTCTTTCCATAGATCTAATTCATATTTTCGACTGACAAGACGTTCAATCATATCGATCTAGAACGAACAAATATGAAATGATATACTATAGATGACAAAAAAAAACACTCTCACTTGGTTTGTATTATGATTTAGTTGTTCATCATCATCATTATCATAAGCATAATCTAAGAAATGAAAATGATCATCGACATATTTTTCTAACATATTTTCAACAATTGTTTCATGTTGTACGATTTGTTCAATAATAGGTTTTTGTAAATAAATTCGAACCACATCGGAATACATTTCGTCAGTTAAATATTCGATCGATTGATTACGAACTATATTCATGGATAGAATCACTTGTTTTAACATCATAGGCCATCGATGTAAACCATGTTCGATTATTTTTAATAATGTTGACCAAAGTTGTTTTTCATGAAGATATTTTCGATCTTGATACATCTTGAGAACTAATTGTTGTAATTCCTCAACGGTTATTGTTGTTGTTGTTGATAGAGAAGAAGATATCTTTCGAAATAATTCTCGAAATTTTTCATTTGTTAATTTTAACCATATTGGAAGTTCATTTCTTCTATCATCTTTGTCAAGACGTTGTCGTTTATATTCATTAGTTGGTTTTAAATTCATTGTAAAAGAAGATATTTTTTCAAATTCTAGATTCATCTACAAAAGAAAACGAATTCATTAGAATGAATATTTAAAATCGATTCTGTAGTTGCTGGTAGTGGACGTTTTACACGAGAGTACCATTGTTGAGGATCATTATATTATTATTATTATTATCTGACATAATTGTCTATTGTGAATATGAATCTGTATTATCTAGAATAAGATTGAAAAAACAAAAATTTATTATGATTCTATTCGATAAATGATTATAAAAAGGCGTGTTCATCGTTTTTCATGTGAATTTGTCAAAGTTTTTCTAGAATTGTCTACAGTTGTACCAGAACAATCTGTATTGAATTGTTTAAAAAAATTATTTTCAGCTTTTCGTACTGAATAAGTATGTCGTCGTCGTCGTTGAAATCTTTTCCGACAAACAGGATAAACATTAAAGCAAAGTATTAAAGCACATAAAATTACTAACAACAATAATAACCATACTATGAATAGACTCATAGTATCATAGTTGAATATGGTACATGAATTTTTCATATTTAATGTGGGTGATGAAAACATATTTGATTCATTCTTATTCATAGATTCAAGAATCATCGTTGTATTACCACAATAATTTTGATGATTAGAACTCATCGGGTTTGATGGTATAGACATAAACGTTGTAAAATTATTAGTAAATCTCTCAAATAAATATTTCATCTGAGTCATATTTACAGAATCATGAACATAAATCCAATTAATTGAAGGGCCAATGTTTGGAATTTCAATTCTTGTACGTCGATAATCACTATAAATTATTGTTAAGGTGATTTGATGTTCAAATTCAGACATGATTCGTAGTAGATCTGGAAAAGCAAAAAATACAACAAAATCTAGAAGAAAAAAAGAACAACAATTTATATTTTTAAATAGCTCAATAAAGAGAAAAACAAAACTTCGAATAATCAATGACAACTATTTTTTTTCCATAAATTCAATTTTGAAAGAAAACAATTAATTTTATATTGATAAATACATTGAATACGTTCAGTAATTTTGATACAACATTCATTGATTAAATTGATCATGGTTAATGACATCGGCTCATTTGTTTTTGCAATAGATGGATCAAACTCTATAGAGCTTTTGTTCATTATTGTATTATCAATCTCTTTCGATTTATCAGCATATTTTTGATTTGCTTTCAAATAAAAATCATATAAGATAACTTCGAATCGTTTTACCATTTCTTTACATTCATTATATGAACTTGGTTGACCATCATAATTTTTCAATGATTTATCGAATGAACAATAATAATTCATTTGCTGTTGTAAAAAACGTGATTCTTGTTCAATTTTTTCTTGTTCATATTTATGTTGACATAATTGTTTAAAAATTTTCTTCTAGAATTATATATGTTATGTACAATGAAGAGAAATTCCATTTCATTAATGTGAAAATTTTACTTGATATTCATTTGGATGTTCTTGTTCATACGTGAGTTTGATCACTTGAATATGATAATCATAATGAATTAGTTTAATTTTATGTTCTATATGCATCCGTAATGAAGATAAGTTTTTTTCTAAATAATCTTCTAAGAGTTCTTCTATACTGAAAGTATAACCATGGAAATTCTTCGTCATCTTCTCATGTTCGATTTGGCTCGTTGTCAATTGTTGTTTAAGTTCATCGATATAATCATAAACAAAATCTATATGCATCTGTTGTTTATTTTCTTCTTTGATCTGTATGAAGGATAGTATTGATTGTATTTTTTTGGGCCAAATTTTATAATTCATCGGATAACTATAGTGTTCTTTTGAATCTAGATTGAATTGTCCCATACCAGATTTCCAATAGGTTTCCCATAGGCGAAGATAGATTGGTATTAATTTAATTCTATGCATTAATAAAGCTATTTGTTGTAATTGATAACGACGATGATGATAATTTAGGGGTTTTGTTGATATCGATGATAGTGTTTGATCTAGTATGATTTGAAATGGTTTATCATTCAATAGTAAATAATAAGGAGTTTTCATAATTTCAGTTCGAAAATTTTTTATCAGCAAGTGTTGATACATTTTCTTCGATGTTGAATTATTATCAATGCAATCATCATGATTATTCTGAAAATAGAACAGAGAAAGTAGTGGTTTTTATAAATTTTTTTTTATTACTTGTTCTTGATTCATGATCATGATGAGTATGTTGTTCGTTGTTATAGTATTTAAAAAATAATATGTTCTAGAATAATGAATGAATAAACGAGGTTATAGTTTAAAATGAAATGCTGATAAAATTCAAACAAATATTTAATTTTAAAAGTATGGATAACAATATTAGAAAAGTTATTATATGAGAAAACCAGTTATATAAATAAAGAAAAGTTAAATCATGTTAAACTATATCAACGATTTCATAATAATATGGTTCTCCTTGAGTTTCTTTTTCACTTCGTAACTGTTGATGTTCAATTCTTTTATAATGTTTTTGATAATTTGCATATTTTTTCCAACTTATTATTGTTATGTTCATTAAAATTAAAGCAAGTAGAAGTTGAATAAGAAGAAGAATGATTGCATAAGATTCTTCGATCATTGATTTGTATTCATTGTCGATAAGAATCGATGATGATGATGATGATGATGATGTTAAAAATGGCCCCGTATAATTGAGACTCGATCGCAGGATATGCCATTTTACATAGGAAAGATGAGTTTCTGGTCGATATTGTGTATGACGCGTTTCGTTACTACTAATTGGGAAAGAAAAATGGCCCCACCCTTTTGAATCAAAATACATTTGAATGTTTTTTGTATAAAACGACGTCATCTTAAGATTTGATCTAAAAATGATAAATGAAATAAATTTAACATCAAGAGCAATATTATATAATGAATAACAATGATATTGAATTGTCAAAGAGTATCAATAATATATAGAAAGTTTTTAACATAAAAACAAACGTGCTAGCATGCAAATTGATCGATACAATGTTTGAATAAAATCGAATAAAAACAAAAGAAATATAAAGAATTTCAGCAAACAGCATACATCAATCTAAAATACCAAATAAAAGATAGATAAATTAGAATTATTTTTGTTAAAAATCAAAACATTGAATAATTGATTTACTTGTGATTTGATTTTGTTTCGCTGAATATTTTTTTGAGTCTTCACCTTGATATGAATGAGGATGATTATGATTTAAAAAATGATTCCTATTTCTTTCATTTCTTTTTGAAGAAGATTTAAAACAAATTTGTCGAATAATGGGAATTATATTTAATAGAATTAATAATAGTAGACCGACAATGATAAATATGAAATATCGACCATAGATTGGATTGTTACAATCATCTTGAGCCAATGTCGATGGTGATGGATGTAGATGACGTAAAAAAGTTTTATTTATTGTATCTATCCGTTGCTTTAAAATTCGAAGAATAATAGTATTATTCGTAAACATTCTATATGTAAGATCGTGACCAATTGGAATAGAATATTGTATTGAACCTGTTTCATTAAAAGACATAAGTATCATTTGTTTATTCGATGATTGCATCGTCGACTCGATTAAATCTAAATGTGCTGATATTCACAATCTAAAAAAGAAATAATGAATAACTTTTAATTTCTAATCTATAATGATGCTTATAAGTTGATTAAATAGTAAAATGATAGAACACAAAACTGAAGAACAAACAATCGGTTTTTTTTTGTCTTTTAATTTTCAATAATTCATTTAATAAAGAAATATAGGTTGCGCATAATATTATTGAGACATTGATTTTTAGTGGTATTTCTTTTTTGCATTTGATTGTAATGAGAAACTCGAAGAGAATAAGATATTCTATTCATCGTACCATATCTTTTCATTTGTTTCAATAATGTTTCGTATTGATTTTGTTGTTGTTTCTGTTCAATATGTTTTAATTCTTCTTCACGTTCTAATTTTAATTCATTCAATTGATTTTCGAGATCTTCTTCCATAATTCGATCGAAATCATCTCGTTCATGTTTCTCGACAACAATACGTTTAATCTGTTGTTTTAGTGGTTGATCTACATTTGATAATTGTTCAGATTGAATCAGAGCTTCGGATTGTTGTTTCTCACGGTGTAGTTGATGACAACGTGATAAAATCATTTCAATTTGTTGCCGACCCGATTGTTTATTCGGTGAATTTTTGGCAGCGATCTGAGATTGCATTGGACGGTATTATATAATCGATAGATCAAAAGAAAATGAACACATCTAAAACGATCAAATAAACATAATAAAATGGCTAATAAATTGAATGATATATATGTATATATATGTCAATACAAACGTAAAAAAAAACTAAATTAGAATAAAAGAAATCGATTCGTATTTTCGATCGTCTTACAAATATAGATCATTTTCATATTTATAAAAACAAGATAAAGGCCGTAGTAATCGTTGATTATTATATGTGGAAACAGTCGTTGGTCGTTTTGAATCGTCAAAATGCAATTTAATCATGGGATAACGAGATAAATTGTTGATCTAGATAGAGAAATTGAAGCAAAAAAAAAATAAGCAAACATAATCGAAATCAACCACCTACATTTGTTCGTTTGTTGTTAAGCGTATTTTTCCTTGTATTGTCTTCATTAGTGCTGATATTGTTGATGCATTGATCAGGATGAACTATGAAAATGATTCATTACAGTAGAAGTCGCTATGTTCATATTTAAATTAATTGATTCAATAGGAATACACTTACTTGAAAACAAAAACATGTTCGAAAAATATTTTGATATTCTCATCCAACTATAGATCATAAATGCAATAATACATAGTAACAAAATTAAAAAACCCAGTGTCATTAAAAAATGATGATAATTATTTCTGGAGTAATTTGTCAAAGTATTCGACAACAGATTGGTATTATCGGAAAGATGTTGAAACGCTCTATGAATTTTAGAATCCTTCTGCATAATCATTGATTTTAGTTTTAAAAAATCTCTATCATTATTTGCTGAATGAGAATTGAATCCAACGGATGTCATTGTTGTTGGTGTTGTTGAAGTATTTGTACTAGTCGTATTGTCATAGATAGCTGTTGAAAATGTAGGATAGATCCTTGGAAGATGAATGATTAATTCACTAACTGGTTTTTTTGTCGTAAACAATGAGACGAAAGACATTTCTTATTTAAATCAATAGATATATCTAAAAAGAGAAAAAATAGAAGAAGAAAACAAACGATAAATATTGTTCTATAGAATAGTTTCATAGAATAATATCGAATTTTATCCGTTGATCATTCACTGTCATTGACTTGCATCATAGCATCGACTATTTCTTGATAAAATGAAGAACTAGTATCATGATTTAATTCAATATCACGCGACAATCGATGCTTGACAAAAAAAAAGAACAGGTCAACTATATTGAAATATTTATTAGAAATACTTACAGATTGAATATCTACTAATGTATTGACTTCAGTTGTTGTAAATAAATTCTGATTATCTTGTTCGTCCAAGGATTTGTTTTCATTATTTGGATGATGGTCCTTTAGGTCATTGTATATGATATATGTCTGTAATGTATCTAGTAAAAAATAATGGTACACATATATATGCAGAAATAAAATAGTTCTATTTGAATACAATAGATTCTTACTTTGTATATCATTTCCTTGATTCGATGATTTACATGAATGATCGGATTGTTTCTTTAAACTATTGAAATAGAATTTTTGTCGATGATATCGATGATAGAAAAATAAAAACAGGATCATGATTATTATCGATAGGACAGTAATGCATACAATATAGATTAACATAGAATGTGAATATAAAGATAGAAAAATTGGTTGATCAAAAACATTTGTTATATTAACTTGAGCATCATTGAATATCGATCCTTGATTATTCGAACCAGATATAGACATAAGTTGTGCTTTAGATGAATTGAAATGTATATCATATTTGTTGCTCGTATGATAATTATTTTTATTTAGAGAGACTAGAGGCCACATGGAAGGAATGTTATTATTTTGACCGATGATTTAATTCCATATAACATCAAATTCTATCTGAAATAAAATGTAATGAAACCAATAAGAAGAAAAAAAAAGAAAAAGAGAAATTTCAATATTAAAAACACGCAAAAACATGATAGAGAATATTATTAAATATTCCTAAATATAAAATTGAAACATTATTGTGAAAAAAAAAACGAAAAGCACTGATATACTAAATGGATTAAATCGAACTTGCTTTCTGTGCAGGCTGATGTGATTGAAGAAATCTCGTAAGTAGTGCTGGATCGAACTGTTTATTGACCATCAAATGTCCTAGACGAGCTTGAAAAGTACAATACAGGTATGTAATTAAACTCAAGATAATTATAGCACTGATGATATAGAATGGCCTAGAAATAAATTTTTAATTTAAAATAAAAATAATGTCAAATAATTTTGTCTAATTACCAGTAATTAGTGATGTGTGCAAGCCAATTTACTGGAGTCAATACGAGATCAGTTGCACCTTCAACAAGTCGATTTGTTTGATTTCGAGCTAATTTTAACCAAGTAGCCTGTGGTATTGAAGAATATATATCACTATTACCTATAATAAGTGTACCACTATCACGAGCTTCAATGTTAGGTCGATGGATGTCACTGAAGATATTAAAAAAATCTCGTCGCTTCCGTTCTTTTACCAGTGTATTTTTAAATTGAATGATTTTAGTTGTTTGTTCCATTTGAGACGTCGTATCGTTGATATTCATACCATGTAGAGAGTCAAAATGAAGAAGAAGAAGAATAACAGAGATAAAATTAAAATAGATATTGAAACTATGCATAATGAAATCGTCGTAGTAAAGTTGATCAAAATAATGAGAACAATGACTAGAAAACATCGTGCTTTTATACTTCTGGTTGAATAGAGACACGGAGAGAGATATCTATGAAATAGAATTATTATGATTGGTGGAAAAATCATTTTTCTTAAGATAAAAAAGAAAAGGAACAAATAGTCTAAACAATAAGTCACTGATTTAAATCATATTGCACCAATATTCTATCTGGTGTCAATCATTAAGTCGAATTATCATTGTCTACATGATGTTTCATATCAATCAGAGGGATTGAATCATGGACACGTTGTTAGTTCATTTGACTTGATGACATCGATAAACTAAATTATTGTAAACAGTTTATTTTCGACGAAGCATTTAATTGATGTCAACATACGCTTCCTATTCTTACACAAAATACATCATTAAAATGAAATTAGTGAGATCAATCAACGAATCAATCACTGTGAATTATTCCTTTAATTGAAATTTATTCTCTCTCTCTCTCTATTTTAGAACAATGATCTTCTTTTATATTTGTCTTCAATGCTGCCCGTAACAATTCGACCACCTACTGTTCGCATATATCTTAATTCTCAAGTAAAGATGAACAATTTCTTTATATATCTAAAATAATGTAGATCATTGTTTTTTTTTCTCAACATCCGACGTGAAGACTTTAGTCAAAGTACCCAATCTAGATAATTCTGAATCATTGAATGACGATTCTCATGACGTTCCTAATTTGAAATTGAATAGATACCAACAACTTTGGATCAATGGACACCCGATGATGAATTCATATGGACATTACCACAAATTAAATATTAATAAAAACTATTGTGAATTCTCAAGTTACTTGTTTAAAATTTATCTATTTCTTTTATTCAATATTAATTAACAGTAAATGTAGAATTTTTTTTATTCGTTAACCCGTTTCATCAAGCCTCTGCATTTATAGTATAATAATAAAAATAAAATTGAATAATCATTGATGCATTATCAATTTCTTTATGTTTTCTATTTTTGTGGCTATCTACTACTTGTCGTTTGTTACATTCGTTTGTTTTTGTTTTTCAAGATTAATATTAACAACTACTTCGATAAACATATATATTTGAAACTGTCATTTACAACTTCCCGATAATATTTCAACTGTTCATGTTTGAATTCAACATCAATATATAATGTTGTTATTATCGATGACGATAAAGATTCATAGCGAATAGCAATTTTTACTTTTATTTTAAAAATTTTGCTTGCGAAAACAATCTCTATGGACTATAAAGTTTAAAAGGAAAATATAGATTTATTGAACTAGTACAACAACAACAAAAAAATATATTAAACTTTTAAAATTTACTAGCTATTTTTGACTTATTGTATAAGCTAATTCAATATTTGGATGAAATTGATTTGCAAAATCTAACCATTCTTTAATAGTTGTTTCCGATTCATTTGATGTAAAAAAAAAGAGAAAAATATTTTCGAAATAATTCTTGAAACTGTTCATTTGTCAACTGTAATCAAATAAAAAATATCTTTGCTTTTTTTCTATTTTAAAGTCATTCGCATAGTCTTTAATTCTATATCACAACTTGTTGTCTATTTTTCAAATAACCGAGTTAGTAAATATCGAATTCATCATGTTGGCTATTGTGGTATCATGAAATGGATTGTTGTGAAATCAAAAAATAAAACGAAATCTATTTATTAAAATTTTATTTTGTAATTCAACTAACAAATAACAAAAAACAATAGCGTCAATCTAAGCACCAGGGCATTGATTTCGATCAACTGCTTCAAGCTGTTGGATAATTTCATTTTCATCTTCTTCATCTTCATAGTCTTCTTCATATTCGCCATCTTCATCTTCGTCATAATCGGTATCATAATAATCACCGAAATCAAGACCTAATTCGATGTTTAATTCATCTTCATTGATGTCGACCACCTGTTGCATATCATTTTGTTGAAAAATAAGTACCTGATTGTTTTCAGGATCAGGTATTATATCGAGAGCGATAATTGATGATGCTGTTGAATTCATTCTTAGCAATGATAACATTGAACTGAATGGCAGAAGAATATATATAGTACCATGCCATTTGTCTTTTTTTTTTGTTGAAGATGTTACAGAGAAGATCGATTATCTCTCTCTCTCTCTATTTTTGGCCAATGAACTAATAGAAAATTGAATTCATTCTCAATTGATGAAGTCCAATCGACCATTTTCTTCTTTCATTGTTATATTCCCATCCTATACCTCCATTAACGCATATAAAACGATTGTCGCTAGTATTCGAACAATAGGATTGATTCTTTTTTCTTTTTCTCATTGTTCAATTGAAACTTTAGCTCGAAAACATCTTCGTTATATTTCATACGTTTGACAATTGAACAAACTGAATTACAATGATAAATTCTATATACAATATGAGTTAACCTTCATTTTATTGTTCTCAATTTACTGAACATTAAATGGCAACACCATAATAGACTCGGGTATTATTTTCAAAGAACTCTAAACTAATATCATTACCATTTCATAAGTATATTTCAGATCATTTTCAAAAGTGAATTGTTATAACGAATTCAAAATTGTAATTTTCTTGCTACTTTAATATTTAATTATTTCAATTTCAATATTTTTACATGAGCGATATTATTCTATTTGTATTTTCTGTGAATCTTACTTCTTCTTTATTAAAATTTAAATAAATGTTGATTAAAATATAGCTTTTCTATTTTCTTAATATGTTTTTCTTTTTATCAAATTATTTTCAAAGTTTCCATTAAATATTATATTTGTTGTTCCTTATTTATGTTGAATTGATTTAGTATAAAATTATATTATTTACACTATGAAAAGGAATGATACATGTTGTTGCAGTTTTTTACTTTTTTTTTGTATAAATTTTCATAATGGTCTTGATAAAAGTGATTTCATTCTTTTGATTATTTTCTATTCTATAAATGTAAATGTATCTAAAGAAAATAGAAAAATATTCAAATAATGCCTATATGAATTTGAAAATAAAGTTTTATTTTCATATCCAGAAGGGAATATTGTATACTATATATAAGAATTTTAAATACAAATAACATTAAAGCTTAATTCTTTCATTAATATTCTTATCTAGTTTGATATGTTTTTATTTAATAAAACTACAATTTTTTTGTTTTGTTAAAAACCTATCATATCAAAAGCATGAAACAATAACTATCCATTGTTCTAATATAGAAATAATATATTTAATCTTAAAAGATATTACCTGTTGAATCATTTCCATTGTAACTGGTAAAATGAATGAAATGATGACATCGACTCGTTATTTATCAATGAAACATCCTTTACTGTATTACGTGCTGTATGAAGATTTTACTTTGAAATACTCTATATTATTATCATTGTTTTTCCTATGATTTTTTCTAAGATCTCGTTTAAATACGATTGTCATAGAATACTCTATCGTCGTCTTATCAATGACAAAAAAATATCTTTTTAGAGACTTAATACTTCGATTTTTTCAAAAATAGGCTGAGATTGATAAAAATATCCATCCTCTGGCCAGGCCATTTGAATTGTTCTGCAGTTCATAAGATTCTCCGTCAACATCCAACCAATTTGACAACTGAAATCTAGACAATTATAGCGCGTAGGTACCTTTTAGCAATCCTACTAGCATCTGACAAGTATGGCTCGTCCACCATGCTACCGATTCATATTTCTCTATGAAACATTGCTCATAATATATTCGCTGATAGTCGAATCATATGACATATTAAAAACGAGTCTAGCTTTTACTCTTGCAAAATGTAGGCAAATGCTAAAAAATGACAGTAGAGGGGCTCTCTAGGTACTCCAGTGTACAGGATAACGGTAATTTCCTAATAGTATGTGCCCATGATCGTTATCTACTTGTCGACAAAGTTTCATTACGATATCACCTACCTGAAGTGGTTCGCGCCAATTTTTCTAGCCCACTTATTGATTTGGGCTTGGCCCAGTGGTGCGCACCATCACTTACTACGTCGGATCTTAATGCAACCAACGTCATTCGATAGAGCATGAAAAGTTGGCCTAACCCCCTGTATACTTACCCCCCTGTTATATATAGCCCCCTATACAGGATTTTTTTCCCCAAGACACCCCTGTATACTTACCCCATTTCGGGGGTGTACTAGCGGCTGACTTCGAAATCTGTATACTTGTATACAGATTTCGAAGCGCTCTACAATTCTAACCCCGGTCTTAGAATATCAGTATCGCTTCGTTTCCGACTTATGACCAGTTCCATGCAATTTTGCTGCAGAAAAACGAAAATCAAGTTTTCAGGGCAGTTCTCCCGAAATTCCATTTTTTGACACCTGGTTTTCTGTGACAAGAATCATGCGCCCAGGTCTCAGCTACATTCCAAAGAAATACTGGGGGTTCCAGCGCTCTGCTATACCTACCTAGAATGCTACGAATCGAGGCCCTATTATTGCTAAAATTGACGGTTCTCGTGGAACGCGGCTCGGATAATCACAGGGCAACACCGGACAATTGAACTTGCACTAGTATAACATTTAGACACCTCCAGCTATCAAACCAACACCGAACGAGTCCAATATTCAAATACAGGCATGGCCTAGACTCTGTACAATGACACCAAAATTAAGTCAATTTCAACTTCGGCTACCTTTTCACAATCTATGGATTGAAAAGGAACATTTTTCGACGGTGAAATGTTTTCTCGTATTAGACGATCGATGGTCGCTCTTTTTTCCGATATAAGATAAGTCTTGTTTTTTGAGAAACGGTTGCCTAAAAATGCAAAATAATGCTGTAACATGACAGCAAATAAGGCTCAAATTGGAAACGGTTACAGCAATCGGGATCATCTCAACAGATCCAGATTCAGCATTGAAAACTGATATAAAATAATGTCTTTCGAACATCCGGAGAGGTATTTGAGGGGCTTTCAAAAAAATAAAAATTTGCGAAAAATCCCTAAAAATCGTTCATGATTCTGGCCTTCAGAAGCGAACGGTGCGAGATATCGAAATGATCTCGACGGATTCTGATTCAGCATTGAAAGCTGATATGAAATAATGATTTTCCAGCAGCCGGAGGGTTTCTAAAGGGTTTTCAAAAAAATAAAAATTTCCGTAAAATCCCTAAAAATCGTTCATGATTCTGGCCTTCAGAAGAGAACGGAAGCAGATATCAAAATGATCTCGACGGATTCTGATTCAGCATTGAAGGCTGATATAAATCAATGATTTTACAGCAGCCGGAGTGGTTTCTAAAGGGTTTTCAAAAATCTTATTTTTTGAGAAAAATCGCCAAAAATCCTTCATGATTCTGGCCTTCAGACGAGAACGGTGCGAGATATCGAAACGATCTCGACGGATTCTGATTCAGCATTGAAAGCTGATATAAAAAAGTGTGTTTCCAATATCTGGAGGGCTTTCTAAGTGGTTTTCAGAAATCTTATTTTTTGAGAAAAATCCCTAAAAATGGTTCTTGATTCTGGCCTTCAGAAGAGAACAGTAGGAGATATCGAAATGATCTCGACGGATTCTGATTCAGCATTGAAAGCTGATACAAAATAATGATTTTCCAGCACCCAGAGGGGTTTCTAAAGGGTTTTCGAAAAAATAAAAATTTCCGAAAAAACGCAAAAAAGCGTTTATGATTCTGGCCCTCAGAGAAGAACGGTACGAGATATCGAAATGATCTCGACGGATCCTGATTCAGCATTGAAAGCTGATATAAAATAATGATTTTCCAGCACCCAGAGGGCTTTCAAAAGGGTTTTCAAAAATCTTATTTTTTCAGAAAAATCGCTAAAAATCCTTTATGATTCTCGCTCTAGCAATAGAACGGTAAGAGATATCGAAATGATCTCGACGGATCCTGATTCAGCATTGAAAACTGATAAAATTTTATGTCTTTTCAGCATCCGAATAGTTTCTAAAAGGGTTTTCAGAAATTTTGAATTTCAAGAAAAATAGTCGAAAATCTCTGATAAATTCTGGCTTTTAAAAGAGAACGGCACTTGATATCGAGACGATCTCGACGGATCCTGATTCAGCATTGAAAACTGATATAAAATAATGCCTTTGCAGGATCCACAGAGGTTCTGAAAGGTTTTCGGAAATCTTGAATTTCAAGAAAAATATCTGAAAAACTCTTATAAATTCTGGCGTTTAAAAGAGAACGGTAATAGATATCGAGAAGATCTCGACTGATCCTGATTCAGCATTGAATGCTATGGTGTGTGGGTTCGGCTAGCTACCATAATGTTAAGATTTCATTGGAACAACCGAAATCATCAGATGGCAAATAAATCTATTGAGTAAAAATTCAAAGATTCCATCATAAAACTGACATATACTAGTTAAAAAAGTAAATATATGTTGAAGAATTCAATTCCTAATTTGTAAAGAAATAAATAAATTTTAAGGAAAACGGAGATCGACACGACACGTTTCGTCCTTTGTCAAGGGACTCATCAGGTATCTTCGAACTTCTATTATTATATAAAGTAGAAACTCATTCAAATATAAAAATTCGAAGAGGTTAAAACTTAAACATAATAATAAAAAAGACAATTTATAATTAAAAGTTTTTAAGAAAATCGAGATCGTCTTGCATACCACGATTCTGAATTTGACTATTGCTTAGGTAGTCATCATCAGATGGTTTTGACTCTTCTATAGTTATTCAAATGATTTTAAATAAATGAAATTCAAAGAAAGTGTATTAATCTATGCAGAACACTGAATTAAATTCAATAGTCTTGTAGCCATTACGACGAGTTTCGATCTTTCTTAACTCGATGTTGATTACTATTTATTCAAGAAAATTCAAATCAATACGAGATAATCTATACTATTCTACTACAAATTGATTCTTAAATGTATATTATTTAAAATTTTCCAGATGAGAACAATTGTACGACTGATTTTCACATTATAAGATTTTGTATTAGATTTGTGTACAATATGGTAGTATATAAATCGGAAACTATGAAAATCAATGTAGAAAAACTTCAATGAGCAGTTGATTGCAATAAA